GACAGGATTTCACAATTGTTTGCGCTATAATATGAATGGACCGGGCCAATAGATATCGATCGCAGTGATCGGGCAAACACGAATGAATCCTTCCGACCTAATGCAACGCTCCCCGCCGCCACAATTCAGAAAGTGGGATAATAACCGGCCGAACCCGCGCGGTGATTCATTGTTATCTCCTTGCGCCGAACTTTCGGAACTTTTCAGATGGAAATTCTTAACAAGCACTCCAGGCAGTACACTCCGACGGTTTGAATAGGAAATTTCCTTCCAGACGATGTTTGCGTTTCGAGCTAGTCGCCGAATCCATTTCGACTCTGACCGCAGCTCGGTTATGTCACTCGGAAAAAGTTGAAATCCGTTATTCGATCGCCGCGGATTCGAAGCGCGTTACGAGCGCAATTAACGAAAGCGATTCGAGACGGTGCAAAAATCCTGATCCTCGGTTCGCAATTGAATTTTCAAACTGGAAATAATTATTAAGGATAGATTCGTTATCGTCGAATTAACAGGGGTAAATATTGAACGTAGCTTTCGGTAGACGGTAGAATCCGAATTTTTGAGCAAATAGTTCCCACCGAAATCAGAGGTCGACCACTGCAGCGCGATGAACCAGGTCTGGCAACACCACTGGCCCGTTCTCGAACGGTTCTCGTAGAACCGGCTTTCTCGATCCAGGCCAGAAAGGGCACAAAGAGGAACACTTTGGCCTCGTGCTTGTGTCGAACAAAGGTTTCCGAGGTACACACGCGGACGGTCATAGCGCGATTGAGAGCGGCGCTGGTTTTCCACGGACGAAAATCATCGATCGAATTCGTACTCCGTCGGGGGAGAGGAGAAAGACGTTCTTCTCGTAACGCATCACTTTCGAAAGAAGACAACGCGTGGCATAAACGTTTGCTTAACGACGTTGGTTCGTGTTCATCGAAGTGCGATACATTAATACGTAAAAGGGGAACGGAATAAATGCGTCGCACCGTGGGATCTTTACTTGAAAGATTATAATATTGAAATGAAAATAAAATTGTAAATTAAATAATCATCCCGGAAACATATCATCGATCAACGTAATTATTACGGTGTACCAGTACACTGATTGTTTACCGGGAGGCTATTATATTTTTAATTACGATCGGAACGATTAATGTATTTACGTAACGCGGAATACCGAATACGAGATTGCAGATTGCAAATGTTAACGGTAAATATTTATTAATGTTACTGACAATTAATTATCAACGACGTTGCCCGTTATTCATGCCGGCCGGAATATAATGATATTAAACTTAGTTAAATGAAATTTCAACCCGGATAATATTAATTAAGGTCACACCTACTCGCGCAAAAAGATACCACGTTAAACGTTTTATTATAGGTACGCGGTAATTCCTGCGAGCATTTGTAATCGCTTCGCGGTCCGTGATGTTTGAATTGCAGTTAATTACGCCGCGTTCAAAATTGTGGCGCGGCTTAAATTTCCACTTAATTTTATTGGGAG